CAGCCTTGTAAAACCACAACTCCCACAATTCCATAGCATTGAGCCCTGTCAGTTGAAGTAGTATCACGGTGCATTAATTTTACCATGGAGATGGACCCTCTGAAGGTGATAATGGCACACAGCCTCTTGAGTATTGCTTGGCTAAAGCAGTACCTACACTGACGATTTGAGTCAGTTTTAAACTAGCATTGAAGAGAGTGCGTTCGTCATGCAAATAACGACACAGGAAATTACAGAGGCCCAGACAGTGATTGCACAAATCACAGAGAACTGGTGTGCACTAAGGGTATTCTGTCGCACACTTTGGTGGGAGTTTGTTCTTTATCCATTGCATTAAATGGTCAGTGTAGATGGGGCCTAAGGGCACTTCCATACAGTCATATAACCCAGAATATCAAGGCAGATAATCCCCAATATCTGTTTTGAACTGGGTTTTGTTTTTGTTTTTTTGTTGTTGTTGTTTTGTCGTGTCAGGAGCGACTTGAGAAACTGCAAGTCATTTCTGGTGTGAGAGAATTGGCTGTCTGCAAGGACATTGCCCATGGGACGCCCGGAATTTTTTTTATCTTTTACCATCCTTGTGGGAGGCTTCCCTCATGTCCCCGCATGAGGAGCTGGAGCTGACAGAGGGAGCTCTCCGCGCTCTCCCCAGATTTGAACCTGTGACCTGTGGGTCTTCAGTCCTGCCGGCAAAGGGGTTTAACCCTCTGCGCCACTGAGTCCACACTGCCATATATCCCAGTTCAAAGCAAATAATGTGGGATTTTATTTCAACTGTGTGGAAAGGGCCTAAGAAAACTTTAAGAAATGCATAGGGTTGCCCTTAACTTCACAGACCTTTTGAAGACACAGATAGGGTCTGGAGAACAAGACCTATGAGAAGCGGCTTAAAGAGCTGGCGTGTTTAGCCTGAAGAAGAGAAGGCTGAGAGGAGGCATGACAGCCATGTATAAATATGTGAGAGGAAGTCATAGGGAGGAGGGAGAAAACTTGTTTTCTGCTTCCCTGGAGACTAGGACACAGAACAATGGCTTCAAACTACAAAAAAGGAGATTCCATCTGAACATTAGGAAGAACTTCCTGATTGTGAGAGCCGTACAGCAGTGGAACTCTCTGCCCCGGAGTGTGGTTGAGACTCCTTCTTTGGAAGCTTTTAAACAGAGGCTGGGGGGCCATCTGTCAGGGGTGCTTTGAATGCAATTTTCCTGCTTCTTGGCAGGGGGTTAGACTGGATGACCATTGAGGTCTCTTCCAACTCTGATTCTATCATTTTATGATATTAAATGGAATTGGTTAATGTGAGTTTTCCAGGCTATATGACCATGTTCCAGAAGCATTCTCTCCTGACGTTTCTCCCACATCTATGGCAGGCATTCTCAAAAGTTGTCGGGTCTGTTAGAAACTAGGCAAGTGGGTTTATTATATATCTGTGGAATGTTCCGGGTGGGAGAAAGAATTCTTGTCTGCCTGAGGAAAGTGTGAATGTTGACATTCAAAATCTGTTTTTGGAAGACGTGATATATTTTATATAATGAGGATAAATATTCAAGCTACAAAGGGAACACATTACTGACTTTCACAAATGCATTGCACCCAACAGCAGTTTGTTTCCATTGTACAGATTTGATTCTGAGGTTGCCAAATTGAAAACTGGAAAGGACTCTTCTGGTCAAGTTGCAGAGAAGGGGCAATTTCTGCAGATGTGACTTGTGATCTGACCACATAGCAAGCAACGTCTGCTGAAATTCCGTCTTCTACAACACCACTAAAAGTCATAATATCTACGCTTGCCCGCTACACGTACCTGACAACCACGGTCGAGGACTGCCTACCGCAATAAGAATGTTTGGCGCGAAAAGTCAGAGAGGGACATAGCGTTCCGCGACATGTGGATAGGCCGGGACTGATACAGCCTGGAAAACGCACAGAAACCCAGTGATTCTGGCAATGAAAACCTTCAACAACACATTAAAGAACCATATAATGCACTTCAATGCCAGGCAAACTGCATTATATATGGTCAGTATAGAAGTAGCATTAGCAAAGCAAACTTGACTCTTGAGCACTTCCTAAAAACCAAAATTCAAAACAAAACAAAAACAGGAAGGGGAAGGAAAAAGGGGAAACACACTCCTATGGTGCTGCCCTTTGTGTCCAGCCACATGACCCTCATTCTCCCACATGACACGTGTCTTTTGGGGCACATGAGAATGCACAGAAACAAGGGTAGCCGTGTGTGGCCTCGTCTAACCTCCCATTACAAAGCTTTCTTCAAAAGTCTCTCAACAGCTGAGACTCTAATTCAAGCATGGGCCAAATTTGGCCCTCCAGGTGTTTTGGACTCCAACTCCCACCATTCCTAACAGCCTCAGGTCGTTTCCTTTCCCCCCTCATCCACTTAAGCGGCTGAGGGGGGAAAGGAAGGGGCCTGAGGCTGTTAGGAATGGTGGGAGTTGAAGTCCAAAACACTTGAAGGGCCCAAGTTGGCCCCTGCCTGCTCTAATTACTTCCCTATAATGGGCCACGTCTACACGGTGGAATTAATGCACTTTAACACCACTTTGATTGCCATGACTGAGTGTCATGGGGAGTTTGAGGGGACACCAGCACTCATGGCCAAGAGGGTAACAAGACCTTGCAAAGCCACAATTCGTGCGATTCCATTGCACTTGCAAGTGGTATCAAGCTGCGTCAATTCGACTGTGTAGATCAGTGTTTCTCACCTGGGGGTCGGGACCCCTGAGGTGGGTCACGAGGGGGTGTCAGAGGGGTCGCCAAAGACCATCAGAAAACACAGTATTTTTCTGTTGGTTGTGCGGGTTCTGCGTGGGAAGCTTGGCACAATTTTCTCATTGGTGGGGGGTTCAGAATGCTCTGTGATTGTAGATGGACTATAAATCCCAGCAACTACAACTCCCAAATGTCAAGCTCTATTTCCCCCAAATTCCACCACTGTCCACATTTGGTCATATTGAGTATTTGTGCCAATATTTGGTCCAGATCCATAATTGTTTGAGCCCACAGTGCTCTCTGGAGATTGGTGAACTATAACTCCCAAACTCGATGTCAATGCCCATTGAACCCTTCCAGTATTTTCTGTAGATCATGTGTGCCAAGGCTGGTTCAATTCCATCATTGGTGGAGTTCAGAATGCTCTTTGATTGTAGGCGAACTATAAATCCCAGCAACTACAACTCCCAAATGTCAAGCTCTATTTCCCCCAAATTCCACCACTGTCCACATTTGGTCATATTGAGTATTTGTGCCAATATTTGGTCCAGATCCATAATTGTTTGAGCCCACAGTGCTCTCTGGAGATTGGTGAACTATAACTCCCAAACTCAAGGTCAATGCCCACTGAACCCTTCCAGTATTTTCTGTAGGTCATGTGTGCCAAGGTTGGTTCAATTCCATCATTGGTGGGGTTCAGAATGCTCTGTGATTGTAAGTGAACTATAAATCCTAGCAACTACAACTCTCAAATGTCAAGCTCTATTTCCCCCAAATTCCACCACTGTCCACATTTGGTCATATTGAGTATTTGTGCCAATATTTGGTCCAGATCCATAATTGTTTGAGCCCACAGTGCTCTCTGGAGATTGGTGAACTATAACTCCCAAACTCAAGGTCAATGCCTATTGAACCCTTCCAGTATTTCCTGTAGATCATGTGTGCCAAGGCTGGTTCAATTCCATCATTGGTGGAGTTCAGAATGCGCTTTGATTGTAGGCGAACTATAAATCCCAGCAACTACAACTCCCAAATGTCAAGCTCTATTTTCCCCAAATTCCACCACTGTCCACATTTGGTCATATTGAGTATTTGTGCCAATATTTGGTCCAGATCCACAAGTGTTTGAGCCCACAGTGCTCTCTGGATATTGGTGAACTATAACTCCCAAACTCGATGTCAATGCCCATTGAACCCTTCCAGTATTTTCTGTAGATCATGTGTGCCAAGGCTGGTTCAATTCCATCATTGGTGGAGTTCAGAATGCGCTTTGATTGTAGGCGAACTACAAATCCCAGCAACTACAACTCCCAAATGTCAAGCTCTATTTTCCCCAAATTCCACCACTGTCCACATTTGGTCATATTGAGTATTTGTGCCAAATTTTTTTGTCGTGTCAGGAGTGACTCCTGGTGTGAGAGAATTGGTCATCTGCAAGGACGTTACTCAGGGGACGCCTGGATGTTTTTATCATCCTTGTGGGAGGCTTCTCTCATGTCCCAGCATGAGGAGCTGGAGCTGATAGAGGGAGCTCATCCGCCTCTCCCCGGATTCGAACCTGTGACCTGTCGGTCTTCAGTCCTGCCGGCACAGGGGTTTAACCCACTGCACCACCAGGGGCTCCATTATTGGTTCAGATCCATAATTGTTTGAGCCTACAGTGCTCTCTGGATATTGGTGAACTATAACTCCCAAACTCAATGTCAATGCCCATTGAACCCTTCCAGTATTTTCTGTAGGTCATGTGTGCCAAGGTTGGTTCAATTTCATCATTGGTGGAGTTCAGAATGCGCTTTAATTCTAGGCGAACTATAAATCCCAGCAACTCCAACTCCAAGTGACAAAATCAAGCTCCCGAACCCACCCCACGTATCGAGTATTTGGCCCCATGTAAGCCGCTCCGAGTCCCCATCGGGGAGATGGTGGCGGGGTAGAAATGAAGTTTATATTATTTATTAATAATTATTATTACTATTTGTGCCCAGTTTGGTCCAGTGAATGAAAATACATTCTGCATGTCGGATATGTAGATTACAATACAGAACAGTAGCCAAATTACAGTGATAAAGTAGCAGTGAAAATAATGTTATGGTTGGGGGTCACCCCAACATGTGGAACTGGATTAAGGGGTGGCAGCACTAAGGAGGTTGAGAAACACTGGTGGAGATGCAGCCTGGGCATCTCCTTCTTTGCTGGGATTGGAAAGGGAGGGAGTCAAACAGCAATAAGGCTCAGTCGTGGGAGAAAGGAGGGACGGCAAAGCCACTTACAGAGGATGATGATGATGATGCCAAAGCCGGGCAAAGGAGAGGGAGCAGGAAGAGGGCGAACATCTCAAGGCGGCTGGAAAGGAAAGTGGAAGCCGCTTTCTCTTTGGGAGAGCTAGCCCACGCCTCAGCCGCATGACTCGGGAGTCAGCTGACCCGAGTGGGAAGGAGGGGAGCCTCCCTCCCACGCCATTGGGCGCCCTCTCCCCTCCTTGGAGGAGGAAAAGAGGAAGTACAGGCTATCTTTTCCCCACCTGATACTCCTCTCCATGAGTTGTCCCTGCTGGCAGGGAAATGCAACAGAAGAGGACAAGAGACTCAGTCTGGGGCTTGTTGCAAATAATCTTAACTGGTTAACCAAATCCCCATGCTAAGTCTATGAGATGCAAAAAATTAAGAGTCCCTCCAGAACTGCAAGCACTATCTCAAGCAAATATTAGCAATTTATTCACACTGTCATTACTTGCAGCAATAGCCGATGTAGTTGTTCTGGTACAGCTGTACCAGGAGCTCCAACTTTATTTGCTTTGTATTAAATGTTTGCTTGCAGCCTAGGTTTCAGGGACTCTGCAGATAGGTGGCTTCTTTGGTTGCAGTCATAGGGCAAGTCACCTGTCCATCATTGTTAAGTTTTGGTCCCGCCCCTTGCTCAGGGCAATTGGGAAGGGAAGGGAGCCATTTTTAGTTAGTCTCAGCAAGGTAAGCTTATGTATAGGATGTGTGCAAGCTTCCCCTGTACAAAAGCTTCAACCCCTAAGACCTTCCGGGAGAGAAAGGTCTTAAGAGTCTCCAAAGAATTTCCAGGAAAACAGCCCTAAAGACCAAAGAACTCCAGCTGAGGAACATCTACTGCCTTGCTGGTAGGTCCACTCGGCGTTCGAGACGCAGTTCGACCCGGTAGCGGAGCCCACATCAGTAAGGGTTAGATTACAGTCAGCCTGGGAGAAGTTAAAAAGGGGATTTTCCTTTAAAGAAGAAGTTATTGAAGACAGTTGCCTGTCCTTCGTGGGCAAGATTAGGAATTCACCAGTTGCCTAAAAGCTTGGAATCATTTGCTTAACTTTACTGAAGACAAGAGAAGTTTCTGTTTGATTGTTCATCAATAAAAGACTTTGTTGTACTTCTCAAGCCATCTAAAGACTGTTTGTGGTGGAAACCTCTGAGAACTTCTCTTTAGGCCCCCTGGCTTCCCACTGGGCAAAGGTTGCACATCCTGTTCTAAAGACAATTATTTACAGGCCCAGCGCGCGACAGAACAGTAGTGAAGCAACCAAGTTGGGGGGGGGGGGGGATGTTGAATGCTCTCATTAAGGAGGCCAGACTTGGTGGAGGTGGTTGACAGGGCGGAGCTGCAGGCTATTGAAGGCTGCTCTGCCCCCTGCTGTGCTCTTTGCTTCAGCGTGAGCAATTCTAAACCTTCCCGCGAAATTTTCAACCCCCCCCCCCCCGAAAATTTCAACCCCTCCCGAAATTTTTTTCTGGCTACGGCCCTGCTAGCTGTCCCCTGCCACGCGTTGCTGTGGCCCACATGGGGGTTCTGTGTGAGATGTTTGGCCCAATTCTATCGTTGGTGGGGTTCAGAATGCTCTGTGATTGTAGGTGAACTATAAATCCCAGCAACTACAACTCCCAAATGTCAAGATTCTATTTTCCCAAACTCCACCAGTGTTCACATTTGGGCATATTGAGTATTCGTGTAGAGTTTGGTCCAGATCCATCATTGTTTGAGTCCACAGTGATCTTTGGGATGTAGGTGAACTACAACTCCAAAACCAAAGGACACTGCCCACCAAACCCTTCCAGTATTTTCTGTTGGTTATGGGAGAACTGTGTGCCAAGTTTGGTTCAATTCCATCATTGGTGGGGTTCAGAATGCTCTGTGATTTTAGGTGAACTATAAATCCCAGCAACTACAACTCCCAAATGACAAAATCCATTTTTGAGTGATGGTCACTCCTTGGGTTAGTAGGTATCTTGTGTCCAAATTTGGTGGCAATTCGTCCAGTGGTTTTTGAGTTATGTTAATCCCACAAACAAACATTACATTTTTATTTATATAGATGCTCTGTTCATTTTGAGTGACATCATAACTCTTAGTATTTACCGGTTCAATCAATCAATCAATCAATCAGCAAATGCCTGATTCCAAAGCCAAGATTTCAGTTTCTTCCTGAAGGTCAGGAGGGAGGGGGCAGACCTAACCTCATTGGGGAGAGAGCTTCATAGCCGGGGGGGGGGGGGGGGGGGG